CCTATTTGAAAATATATTCATCTGAATACAGAAGTAATTATTATCCAAGTAATACAGATCTATATAATCAACTGTGTTTACTGCCAGCCTATCACAGTCCATATATTACATATTCTAACATGTAATAAAGTAGTATTTCTTTGGACATTAACAAGAAAAAACCTTATTACCTGAAAGTATAATTAGCATAAAAAATGTTCACCACTGGTTTACTTTACATGTGGCTCTATAAAATGAATATTTGGAGGTTGTTTCTGGTTTTTTATTTTATTTTGCTTACTATTTCCAAGTTATAAGATCACTCAACTACGATGAAGTAAAACTCTGTCTTCCCTCTGGCAAAGTATATAATCCTTATTTTGGCTTATTCCTCTCTGATGGCTAAATTGGAAATTCCTCAAAGCTGTAATTCAAAGCCATAGGTGACCTTAAAGAAATGATTTTTTATATGCTACCTTTTATTTTAGGGTAACTTTTCAAATGTAGACCATGCATTCCATTACGTTTAGCTGTCAAGCACGGCCTTCATTTGCATTTCTTCCCACTGCTATAATTTTGAGAACTGGCAGGTGACCAAAGAAGAAAAAATGTGCATCTACCATCTAGAGTGCAATGTAGGCTTTTTTTATTGTAATTAAGTAACATAGATATTCATGATTAGATCAAGGTCAGAGGAGCAGAACATCAGAACCGAGGACTTAAAGGTACAAAGAATAGGAAAATTGCTTTCTAAAAGTTTTTTTTTTTAAATAGTAATAGCTACAATCTTTAGGTTTTGCAATAAAACATTTAAAATAGCTCATCTGTTTTATTTTAAAATGTGCACGCCTGGTGTGTTTGCCGTGCACATTTAACCCAGAAGTTTCAGTTGAATTTCTCATTCCAGTTTTTGCTTGAAGTCTCAGTTGAATTTCTCATTCCAGTTTTTTTTCTCCTTCCCATTTCTGCTCCTGATGCAGAAAAAGTTTCAGTTGAATTTCTCATTCCAGTTTTTTTTCTCCTTCCCATTTCTGCTCCTGATGCAGAAAAGCAATTTGAGAGTTATAATGACAATGGATTTTTTTTAAGGCTGAGTTTACATGACACCCAAAATTATTTGTATAGAAGGCATGAGTTCTCTATTAAATCTAAGGGATTAATCCAAGCAGGTGGTATTATGTTTAAACGTGATGTTTTCAACAGGATATGCATCCTAACATTTAGTGTAACTGCGGTTTCGTAGGACACCTGCCACTCCCCTTGGGTAGACAGATTACTACACGGTTCTTTTATTGCACTCCCTAACTGGCTTATTGGCTCCCTCTCAGTCCATCTGATCAATTTAGGTTACTACTTTCCTGCCCTCATTCCCTCTCACTTACAACGCATCTAGCACGTTGTCTACCTCGTCTCAGTCTCCTTGACTAACTCTTTTCCTGTGATAAGTTGCTAACTGATCTGGAGCCCTAGGATTCAATCCAGAGACCCCCATCTCTTCTCTACCCACTCTCTTTCCTTATGTAATCTCTAGTTCCATGGCTTTTAATGTCATCTATACACCAAAAACTCAATATCATATTGACCACTCCTCGATTTCAGATTGACCTCGAAAAACATATATCCTACTTCCTGTTTGACGTGTTGACTTATTTATCTAATAATTTCTCAAACTTAACCTGACCAAAACTCAACTCCTGATTCACCTAACTGCAAACCAGCTTGTAACTTGTGTTCTCCCTCTCAATACGAGTCACCAACTCCTAGTTGTATAAGGAGAAAAAAAGTATTCGCTCAAATATTTCCAATTCTTTACCCCATCAGAAAGTTCTATTGATTTTTCAAAAATACATCCCATTCTGCTCACTTCTGTTCACTGTTACTCTATTCTAGTCCAAGTCACCACTGTCTCTTGCCTGTCCCCTAGTACTCTCTCTTGTCCCCTAAAATCCATTATCCTCACAGCTACCAGGGTTCCAAAGTAACGTTTTAAAAATCTACATCATATAATATCCCTGCTATGCTTAATACTTCTTAATGGTGTCCCACAATACTAAGAAAAAACCTCAAGCTCCTTCCCTTGGCCTGTGTGGTCTGACCTCTTACTACCCCTTAGACCTCTTCTCCCATTTCTTTTCTCCAACTGAGCTGCTGCCTCACTGGCCTTTACTATGCCTGAACCTCTCCCAGCTCATTCTACTTCATGACATGCCTGGCATATGTTTTCTCTAGGACTTCTTGCCCACTTCCAGTCATTCAGACCTCAGCTCCGTGTCAATGCTTTAGGAGGTCCCCTCTACACCTTACCCCACCATGGGCATCTATCATAGCATCATATTTAGTTTTCATCACAGAACTTGCCTAATACTTTCCTGCTTATAGTGTCTCCCCCACACAAGGAAGAATTAGGAGGCTATGGGTCTTGTCCAGTATTATATTCCCAGGGCCTAGAACTGTCCCTGGCTCATAGCTGATACTCAATAAATATGTTGAATAAATGAATGGTTGCATTCACATTTCTTTGGCATCAATTATGTGTACTTGCTGTGCTAACCAGAGTTTTAGACCCTATTCATACTTGTTACTTGTTTTTTGACCATTTTTTTCTGTTGCTTCATATCACTATATCAGATATAATTTTATCTGTTTAAATAAATTCATTTTTCAAAGTTTATATTCAATTGAAGCCTGGTCCATGGAGCAGTGCTGATCTATGAACTGTTTGTTATAGATATGCAACAAAATAAATGCCCACACTGAGAGAAAACACATAGAAATATTTATGGAAATTTCCACTTTATATCTGATTAATCTAATAATAAAAATGTCAGAGCTTATATTTTTTATGTCTTTGTGTATTTTATTTTATTTTTTAGGTATTTTATTTTTTTTGTATTTGCAAATGTATTAATTATGATCGTTGAGAAATTTTTTAAAAACTGATTTAACACAGTTAGTTTGAGAAGCACTAATCTAAGCTACCTCTCCCTAGCAATAATAGAACAGTGATACTTAATTATTTAATAATATTGCAGGTATCAATTTATCTCTCAACAAGTAGTAATTTGTTTATATATAAAAAAAGAGATAATGAGTTTAAAACATTATATTCAAGTGTCTGAATTTTAAAAATTGGGGGGAAATTGGGAAAAATATGTTTGGAAATAGTCTTGCATCCTGCAAATAGTTATCATTTTATAATAAAGCCTATTTGAAAGTATAGAGTAATTTGGATCAATGCTAATCATAACTGCACTACCTCACAGCACTCTTTTGCAAGACTGGAGCAGAGAACAGGCTGGTGAGAAACAGAGACAAAATTGTAAGGAAATTTCAGGAAGTTAAGCCTCCTAGTCCAGGCCTGTTCAGATTTAGTTTCTAGACTGTTCATCAACACATTCTCGGTTGTCATCTTTCTTAAACATTAAGTAAACTAATTGAAATAGGTAGGAAAGTCTCATAACAGAGCAGTTTTTTCAGCAACAATAAAGAACTGTCCCTATTACTTCTTTCTTTCCTAAGAGACACAAACCTTGGCCACTGATAGGTGCCCCTTGGCCTTATCAGTCCCTGTGCCTTAGTCTATGTCTGGCAATAGTGACTAAGGAGAGGCAATATTGACGATAGATATGAGCCTATCTATTGGCAGCAGTTATCCCGACACACTTTCGCGTGACCTAAACACACTTCACGAAGGCCACCAAAGAGCTACAGCTCCAATCATTCTTGGTCACTACCAATTTGGGCTGAATTTGATTCAGTGTCTTAGAGGTGAAAGGCTTCATATTCAATTACCAGGCCCCCAGCTTCCTCAATTAATCAAAGGCTGACATAATGGGTCTATTACAACTCTTAAAGAAAAGACCAGATCAAATCAATATAACTGCTTTATAACCATAAAAAGAAATATTAATAAATATTCTTTATTTAAATACAAAACCAATATTCTATGGCATTTAAATGAATTTGGTTAGAACGTATTTCATCTAGAATTTTATTATAGGGAACTTGAACACAATCAAAATGACAATCAAACTATACTTTGAGTTTCTATAGCAGCCTTCTTCAGAGAAACTCAAACGTTTTCATTTTTATTATGCCATTTATCCTGCAACCATGATTTGGTGTCTGTATAATTTGTGGAAGGATTTATCTGGTCAAAAGGAGTGCTATGAAAAATTGTAATGATCATGATGGCACAGCTGAACTGCTAACTAAACGGGAGTCTCTTATCTGTCATTGTATCAGATGTCCTAATGGAGTTAAAGAAAAGGTGGAATCTGAAAGATCATAAAAGAAGCAACAATGAGGTTGCAAATCACTAGCAGAAAGTGACTGCTAACATCTGAAGCAATAAAATGCTTCTGATGCTAAAGCGACAGCCATATAAACCCAGAGGAAACTACTAGAAAAGTCAAAAGCCAACTAATCCAATCTGAACTTTTAGTGACACTATCAACATGTATAAATTCATTTAAAGAGTTCAAAGTTTAACTTTATGTCTGAAATGCAAGGATAAAGTCAAAGCAGAAAAGACATTTCCCTTCATCTCCATGTCAAAATAAGAAATCACCCTCCACCTGCCAAGTAAGGTGAGGAATATTCATATAATGATTTATGCTAAAAAAAAAAATACATAGTACTAGTTCTTTGTGTTAAGGATGTAAAAGTAAGTTCAGGTTACCTTATTCATTAATGAGTTAAAGTCAGGGACTTCTGAGAGATTCTGAAATCTTTGACTTTGGTGTTTTATTTTGTCACCTTTCTTCCCTTTTTAATATGTTCCCATTGATCTTCCCTTTTTCATTTTTTACATCAGCTGTCAGGCACCACCCTGGGCTGGTCATCAGGATGCCAGAATCCTTGTCAGAAGCTTGTTCCTTTGAATCCAACCCCTTGGGTGCTAAAACCTTCTCAGCCACTTTACTGCCCTTCATCCCTGCAGTTGTGTCTTTCTGACTGGCATTTTGGAAAATTGGAGAATGATGCCTATACTAATATATGATGTCTCCAATTATTTGCAGGCTGCTCCCTCCTGATTACTTTTGGGGTGCTTGTCAATGCCCTGAAAACATGCCACCTGAAACATTGCCATCTTGGCAGAGATGTGGCAAGCTGGTTAGACCACACCAAGGGAAAAAATGGTGGCTGCTGAACAGAGATCCACGTGGAAGACACAGAATTTTTTTCCCTTTTTCCCTCTCTTCATCTTTCAGCTCCTATACAGAATGTGTATGATGCAGGTAAGGAAAAGCAATAAAAATACCACCCCAACAACAGCAAAGTGATTGCATGTTAGCATGACAAGTAAACATGTATTTTCACCCCAACAAGTGCTTTTTATACACTTCCTCAGGCAGTTATTCCACAAAAGCTTCTAATCATTACAGGCTCTGATTTCAGGAGCTAAGTGGGGTCAGGCAGCAGCATACCTGAGGAGACCCTGGGCATGTGTTTCTTTTGTAGAACTAAAATGTCTGTCCACAGGTGCAGACAATACTTCCAAATGCATAGTCATAAGGCATACAGCACACAAAAGTATCCAATCTATAGGCAATTACTAAACGTCCTTAAAAGCCAAAGGTTTTGCTTTCTTCCCTCATTAAACCTTTAAAGTGTAGTACTAACAAGTAGCTAAATTGACTGATTTGAGTACCACCTCCACTGTACGCTTAAGTATAAGTACTAATGAGCAAATGACTCTCTCTCTCTCCACCCTCTCTATTAGTACCATGGAGAGTCAGCTACTATGCTCTGAGGAAATCAGAGGGAAAACACTAAGCCCAAAGTATCTTTTATAGATAAATGTGATTTTAAAATGTTTTACATGTGGTTATGGTCAAAGACTAACTTATTTATGGAGAAAAATAAGTGATTATAAAAGTCTTTGAACAAATTTGAGACTTCCTTCATTGCTAAACCTCAACTTGGAATTTAGAAGGCTAATGAGTGAGTTATATTTATAAATCATAGAACAATTGAGTTGTAAAGACACTTACAGATTAACCTCTCAACCACTTCATTTGTTGAAGAGGAAACAGGCTTAGAAAAATTAAGTGATAAACAAACAAATTAATTCACCCACATACACACACACAAAAAAACCGGGGGGGTGGGGAAGAAGATATAACAACTATACTTTTATGAAGTTGTTACAACAAGCAAACGGAAAGGTAATCATATACAGTGTATATTGACAAAAAAAAAATTTAACGAAAAAAAAAAAAAGAAAAATTAAGTGATAAACAAACAAATTAATTCACCCACATACACACACACAAAAAAACCGGGGGGGTGGGGAAGAAGATATAACAACTATACTTTTATGAAGTTGTTACAACAAGCAAACGGAAAGGTAATCATATACAGTGTATATTGACAAAATAAAAATTTAACGAAAAAAAAAAAAAGAAAAATTAAGTGATTATTTTTTGGGGTGGAGGGCAGGTCAGAGCTAACAGTAATAAAAGGAAAAGCAGAATCTACCCTCTGACTCTCAGTACATGCCTGCTCCTCTAAACCAGGGCCAGCAAACTATTGCCTGCAGGCCAAATTCACTCCACTGCCTATTTTTGTACATCCCTCAAGCTAAGAAGGTTTCTACCTGGCTGAAAAAATTCAAAAGAAAAATAAAATGCTGTAACACATGAAAATTACATGAAATTTAAATTACAGTGACCATAAATAAAGTTTTCTCAGAACATCAGAACATAGCCACACTCATTGGTTTGTCACGTCTGTGTCTGCTTATGCATGAAAACAACGGAGTTGAGGAGTTGCCACAGAACCCAAGTGTGGACATATTTCCTATCGGGCCCTTTACAGAAGGGTTTGCTGATGCCTGGTCTTCAGAATGCATCAAAGCTAGTCTAATTCAGGAGATTCAACCTCCCTCTTCCTCTACAATAGCAGCAGGCACAAAAATAAAGTACAGCAGAAATATTACCCATATATATGTGGGGTATAATATCATAAGAACATTAATATCATAAGAATATCTTAGAATGGAGAAATCAAGAATAAAATTAAATGGTCCCTAGCTAGCCTCAAAACCTACTGAGAAAATAACACAGATTACTGATTCCTTATCTTCATAGTACAGTGACACCTAATCTTTCTTTCCACTAAGTTTGAGCCTTCTCTGCAAACTATCATTTTTTTTAATTTAACATAAATTACAATAAATTTTGATAAAGTATTTTTAAGCATATTACCAAATCTAGACACCCAGTTTATTACAAAGAATAAAAACTAATACTTATTGATCACCTATTGTTTTAGTCTGTTTTGTATTGCTATAACAGAATTACCTGAGACTGGGTAATTTATAAAGGACAGAGGTTTATTTGGCTTACGATTCTGGGACAGCTGCATCTGGTGTGGGCCTCAGGCTGCTTCTACTCATGGTAGAAAGTGGCAGGGAGCCGACGGATACAAGCAGATCACATGGTGAGAGGAAGCAAGAGAGAGAGAGAAGGTGCCAGGGTCTTTTTAAGCAAGGAGCTCTCGGGTAATTTATAAAGGACAGAGGTTTATTTGGCTTACGATTCTGGGACAGCTGCATCTGGTGTGGGCCTCAGGCTGCTTCTACTCATGGTAGAAAGTGGCAGGGAGCCGACGGATACAAGCAGATCACATGGTGAGAGGAAGCAAGAGAGAGAGAGAAGGTGCCAGGGTCTTTTTAAACAATGAGCTCTCGTGGGAACTAATAGAGCGAGAACTCACTCATTAATCCCCCCTCCCCAAGGGAGAGCATTAATCCATTCATGAGGGATCCGCCCCCATGACTCAATCAGTTTCCAGCACTGCCACATTGGGGATCAGATTTCCACATGAGTTTTGGAGGGGACAACACATCCAAACTTCATCAGCTATTATGTGTCATAGCTTCTAAAATGTGGCATCAAAGCATCTAATTTAATCCCTACAGCAAGCCTACATGGCTGTTACTATCATCCTAAATCTGGAGCTCAGAGACACTAAGTTACTGAGTAACTTGCAACTTGCTCAGGGTCATCCTACCTCAGGGCTGGTATCAAGGCCCATGATTGCTATTACCCACAATGCCTCTCTTGCCCTGGGTTAAAAACCCCTGATACGGACTATGCAGGTTCCAAAGTTATATACCATAATGTTATGCTAGAAACTTCTCCAGGGAGGCCGAGGAAACTTCCAGTGAGATAGGCTATGACTGAATTTTTGCCCCCAGATGAAATAATACCAGTACAAAGAATAAAACATCATAGAATTCCATATTTTAAATTTAGTAGCCATTATTGACCTTCAATTCCAAGACATACATTTAAAATATGTTGATATTAAGGCCAATGAGGTTGCCATTTGACATTACTGGCCACTCAAAGGTGAAAATGAATCTCTATTGACAGCAATTATTTCTGAATACTCATAGGCTTGTATGAAATAAAAGTCTTTAAAATTTTAAAAGGGATGATTTTAGAACTTGAGGCAGAAGCAGAAATGATTTCAAGCTTTCCAGACACTGGAGCCTTTTCTTAGATTAGGCAATATATTAACATTGCTTCACTAAAGATTAATAGTACGTTCGCCACATTATTAAGTTAACAGGTTTCTGTGTCTGTGATTCATGCCGATAATAACTTTATTCCTATCAACAATAATTCTCATTTGAAATCAGTAACAGAAACTTCCAAGTTGTGCTGGGAACCTTTCAGTCTTAGTATTGTTCTTCTGACAGCAATTTTTTTAAAACAAACAAACAAAAAACACATCATTTCCCTCTGATTGGGGAATATGGGCTTCGATATTTTATTAAAGGACAGAACTAGCTAATGCTTCCTTCACTCCTGCCATCTGTACCCAACCAAAGCAACCCTTGTTTACTATCCTAAGGGTCAAACAAAAGATTGGAAGGTCAATTATTACCAGGACCTGTTTTAAATAGATAGAAAGAATCTCAGTGAAAATATAGTTCTTCCCTGTATTTAGGCAGGTAACAAAGCAATAGGATCTTTTTACAGCTGTCCTAACTCCCTGACTCTGATCCTCCTTATCCCCTCTCAAATTGTACAATTGATTATAGAGAAGGAGTTGGTGAGGTTTCACCTGGGAAGTTGTCATCTGCACGTTTGAGGAGGGCTGCTCCCCGGGTTGGTGGGAGGGCACGGATCCTAATGCAGTTCTTCAACTGTAAGAAAAATAGTTTGGAAAATCCACTCCTCAAGAGGACTTGGTTGACTTTCTCTCCAGGCCACTCAGTAGCTTTGCATGCCACAGGGAATCAGAGAAATGCCATATGCTGCTAATGATAATGATGAAGATGTGGTGATTGTAGCAAAGCTCATGAACTAGAAAAGGGAGGAGATGCCTCCTTTCACGTGACACCAGGCCTCTGTTTTGACATTATAACCTACCAAGAAGTTTGGAATACACAAAGAGGCTCCAAGATAGCATTAGGGTTTTAATTAGCATTGGGATTATTTTAAAAATACAGAAATTCTATCAATACATTGATGGTTTGAGGTAGGCAGAGGGTCTTTTTAAAATTTCCTATTTTTTACTCTATTAAGGAAAACATTTTCATATAGTTCCCTTTGTGGTCCACTACTTTCACACAACTAGTTTAAAATAAGGGGGCTGGCTGGTTAGCTCAATTGGTTAGTGTGGTGCTCATAACAGCAAGGTCCAGGGCTTGATCCTTGTACCAGCCAGCTGCCAAAATAAATAAATAAAATTAAACTAAATAAAGACACAGACACTGTAGGTTTTATCTCTTTTTCCGTCCTGTTACTTGGCTTACATTAGAAACAAGGTCAATCCAGGGAGCCCACAAAGACAGCCTACAATAAGTAATATGGGTCCACATTGGTCCCCTCTTTTTAGGAAAAAAAATCATTCCTATTTATTTTGACACCAAACTAAAAGTTATTCTAAAAATCTAGCCCCATTTTTTTTTTTTTTTTCCTCATCAGGGTGAAAACAGACATCCTTAATACTTTCTACTGGTTTTTGCTTTAATGTATGTGGGAAAAAAGTCACTTTGTTCATGTGCAGAACTTAAGTTATTTGATTTCTTTTGTGTCATCTTAAGCACAAAATTAGGGCCACCACTGCTTTCCATAGGAAAATTAAGATAGACTAAATGACAAAAGAATCCTCCATAAAGAAGCAATACTATGGTCAATAGACTAAACAGAACTCTTACTACCACAAAAGAAGATGCTTTATCAGCTCATAACTGGGATCTTGAAAAGCTGGGGAGTGTCCAGCTCATCTATCACAGAGGGGCAGCGACAGGGAAGGAACCCGGCGCAGGATGCTCTCCTCAAGGTTAAACCACTGCCTCAATGCATGGCTGCCTCCTCCCTTGAATACAGATTTCTTCAGGATATTATCTGCAGACCATGAATTCCAGCCTGAATTCGGATGGATCTCTTCTGCCAACCTCAGTCATGAATGCCATCAGTGTCCTATCACTGTCAATCCTCACTACTTTTATGGAATATTTCAGCACCTGCCTCTTTCCCTCTAAAAGAGCTGGACCATTTCTGTCAACTGCATTAGTAAGTACAACTCACCGTTTCAAGTGAATTGTTTGCAACTTTTTTGAAAAAAATACTCTGCTGGCACCTACACTAGTTCTGTGATCCTGCGTTGGATTTTCACAAATGGAAAGAAGGTAAATTTGTGAATGACAACCTCCAGCTCCCCAGTTCTCTCACCAGACAGTAATGTCCCATCTTCTTCCCATCTTTTTATGCCTCCTGACATAATGAGATGGTGAAATTTCCAGCACCAAATGGCCTATCCTTCTTCAAGTAAGGCAGTCCTTACTCTTATGTCAATGCTAAATATGTTCTTAAAAATGAGCAGTTAATGAATCCCCCAAAATAATTTTAATTTCAGAATCAGTCATAAAATGTATTAAAAAATTAATATTGTGATTCATAGCTTCAATACAGTATTTCTTCAAATAATGAGGTGTGTAGAAATGATTTTCAAACATTTTAAAAAGTGAAAACAATTTAAGATACCTTACAGAGAACATGAGCAATAGACCATAAAATAAAATTACTCTAATTGAAAAGGGAGATAAGAAACTGAAGCTCATTTTTTGTACCCATCCATATTTCTTTTTTCCTCGTTCAAAAATTAATTTTAATTGACAAATAAAAATTATATATATTTATTATGTACAGTGATGTTTTGAAACATATACATTGTGAAATGGCTAAATCAAACTAATGAATATATGCATTATGTTATATATTTATCATTTTTATGGTGAGCCATCTGCATTTTTTTATATTTTTATTTTTAATTGACACATAATAATTAGGACCAGATTGTACCCTGTAAATATGTACAATTGACACATAATGATTGTACATATTTTCAGGGTACAATGTGATGTTTTGATACATGTATACACTGTGTAATGATCGAAGCAAATCATCATCTCAAACATTTATCATTTTTTTGTGGTGGGAACATTCAAAATTTTCTCCCTAGTTATTTTGAGACCCACAATACCTTGTTGTTGACTATATACACCCTACTGTTCAACAGGACACCAGGACTTATTCTTTCTTTCTGGCTGTAACTTTGTACCCATTGACCAACCTCTCCCCACCTGCCTCCACCTTCCCTTACCCTCCCCACTCTGTAAACCACCGTTCTATTCACTGCTTCTATGAGATCAAGTTTTTTAGGCTCTTCATATGAGTGAGAATATTCAGTATGTGTCTGGCTTATTTCACTTAACATAGTGTCCTCCAGGTTCATCCATGTTGTTGCAAATGACAGGATTTTGTTATCATTAATGGGTGAGTAGTATTCCGTTTATTACATATATCACATTTTCTTTATCCATTCATCCATTGACGGGCACTTAGATTAATTCCACATCTTGGCTACTGTGAATAGTGCAGCAATAAACATGGGAATACAACTATCTCTTAGAAGTATTGATTTCTGGGATTGCTGAATTATTTGGTAGTTCTATTTTTAATTTTTTTGATGAAACTTCATACTGTTTTCCATAATGGCTGTACTAATTTACATTCGACTCATAGCATATAAGGGTTTCCATTTTTCCACATCCTCACCTGCAGTTGTTATCTTTTGTCTTTTTAGTAAGAGCCATTCTAACTGGAGTGAGGTGCTATCTCATTGAGGTTTTGATTTGCATTTCCCTGATGATTAGTTATGTTGAGCATTTTTTCATGTAACTGGTAGCCATTTGTGTGTTTTCTTTTGGTAATGAAGTCCATTCTGATCACACTGTGCCTGACTCTGTTCCCTGAGGCACAGTCATGGAACAAGAGGACAAGTGCTGACACAGTAAAATCAGTTTCAACCTAAGAATCAGAGATCTGGATCTTAGCCCCTCCTCTGCCACTGAACTGCTACTGGGTGACCTTGAAAAAGTCACCTAACATTTCCTGTCTTTAGTTTGGTTACTTTTTCCATTGAGGGGAGTCCCTTAGATAAGTCTTGGGTCCCTTTGTTCTGTAAGACTTTCGCAATCACTCAGGATGACGACAGTGCCCAGAACATAGTTCTAACACATAGTGAAAACTGTATAGGGCCGGCCCGGTGGCGCACTGGAGAGTGCGCCGCTTGGGAGCGCGGCAGCGCTCCCACCGAGGGTTCGGATCCCATGTGGAGACCGGTTCCCGCTCACTGGCTGAGCTCGGTGCGGGCGCAACACCAAGGGTTGTGATCCCGTTACCGGTCAGTAAAAAAGTATAGGGCCGGCCCGGTGGCGCACTGGAGAGTGCGCCGCTTGGGAGCGCGGCAGCGCTCCCACCGAGGGTTCGGATCCCATGTGGAGACCGGTTCCTGCTCACTGGCTGAGCGCGGTGCGGGCGCGACACCGAGGGTTGCAATCCCGTTACCGGCCAGTAAAAAAAGAAAAAAAAGAAAAAAAAAAAAACTGTATAAGTGTTAGCTATTATCATGAGCCATCTTTTGCAGGAGACACATTTAATGGTTTAATCAGTATAAACAGAAAGCAAAAAGAGCTTGAAACTCTTAGGAAATATCATTCAGTGGTAACCCAATGTCGTATCCTCTACTTGAGAAATAATTCCATTGAAATAGTCAAGATCAGGCATATAGAAGATTCTCTTCTCTTGGTTAACCTGTTCTTATTCTTAATTTCTCCTTTTTAAAGATCTGTGGAGACCATACAGTCTTGTAGTTATACATACTTTTTGCTGTTTCTCTGTTTATAGAAGTTGCACTGTAGTGTGTGTGCTTCCTGTTATCAAATCCATCAACAAGATCACTCCACATGACATCATGGGATGGGTTTGCTTTTGGTTAATGAATAAACTCACTTATTTTATTATCCTCGATTATAGAGGCCCTTCTGTGATTTATTTCTTAAGCAGGTAACCCCATCTTTATTTACTGTAATAATGGGCTTTAGCAAACTATAAATCTTAATAAGTTTTGAAAATCTTTAAATTTTAAAAAGCGCTTTTTTGTCTGTCAATGTACAAGTCTAAAAACCAGTAAGAATTTAGTGAATGGCCAACATTACCCTAGGCACTTTGAGATACAAAAGAAAAGTGAGACATTGTATGTAAATGCCCTCAGCAAGTACATTATTGAAACAAAATGAATGCAATAGCAGGACAAAATGGGAGTAAATTTATATTGTGAAATGCCAAAATTCTTGGCAGTCTTGTGCAGTATAATGAAACATCCTACTCTGAGCTTCCAAATTATGCTTAATTACTAAAAATTTAAAAATCTGAGCTACTTTAGGAAAATACTTTGTACAGCATGGCTAAAAGAACTACCTTAGAAATCTTTCCTGAGAATAAGAAATCTTAAATTCACTTTAAATATGAGCAACTTCCCTGGGACAACTTTCCACTCCTACATAGTTGAAATCATTTCTGTTCTTAAAGATGAATATGTTTTATTCTGGATAGAGGAAAGTTAGAGTTATCTAATATATTATTTGATGCTGTTAGTGAATTAAATATTCCTCTTCAAGACTGGTACCACAGACCTACTGTGTAGGAAAAAGGAAAATCTAAACTCACTTCAAAAGAAACTAAGCTGTCTTCTACTGGATACAGAAAACTGAATTCAGTTATTTCTGAACCAGACACCATTTATCCATTTATTTGCTACTTGTTCATTTATTTATATAACATTGTGCTATGGGAATATAAAAATATGATGATATGAGTATCTTAAACTAGATATTTGCTTAAGTCTTCCATATTCTGGTTATGATTATGGAAGATTAACAAGTTTTATCAGGACATGAAAGTACAAACTTAGGGTACTTTTTGATACTAATTTACATAATTGAACTAGTCTAATATTAAAGTTTCCTTTCACATTGAACTTAAGTGCCTAAAACTGTGGGTGAAATATATGAATTACAAATAAACATATATTTATGACTTCCTAATTTGAATGTCGGGACCTTCATATACATATTCATATTACATTTAGCCTCATGATAAACCATCATTTGATAGGTCAAGGGTCCCAAAGATAGTGAGTGTCATTTGATTTCAAGTCTTCTAATTCCAAGGCCATTGCATCATCATCATCATCATCATTATTATTATTATTGTTATTATTATTATTATTCCACTTACTAGCTACCCATAACTGTTAGATTATAGAATTTAAATTATCAGTGTTAACTCGGAATTCTAACTGCTGTTTCTGATTAAACACTCCACAGCAAATAAAACACTCTTCTTTCACCACATTGGGTAGTTACTCCTTATCTGCTCCCACGCTCTCCCACATTCAGTCATTCTCCTTCCAGGGACCGTCTGTTTAAGGAGGCAGAAGGTGAAGACAACGCCAATGCAGAATGTGTGACATGCAAAATCACAGTCCAGACCAAGAGTGAGAAGTGGGCAAATTTCACTCATTTGGCCAAATTAGAATTTTAGTAAAGGAAAAATTAAACTCATTTTCTTTATCTCGTTCCAAAACAATGCAATGAAAGAAGGGTTTCTGATTCAGGATATGACATTCACAAGTTCATTGCCTGATGAAATCAAGAAGTATGCAGGATACCGACTATTTAAAAAAAAAATCTCTAAACCTTCCAGGACTGTGAAAGGCAAAGACTTGACATGCTCAAAGTGTTTTTTATCATGGCTATATTTCCCTAATATTACACTTGAGTGAATTTAGCTCTTTAAAAGTCAACCTTAATTCACCAAAAATCTAGAATTAGTGATATCATTGTGATTTATCCTCTGTCAAAATTGGGCATACTTCATTTTAGTATTTTTCAGTTCAGAAATGTTTACACTATGAGTATTTCCTTTCCTTAGCATTAATTAAAATCCTGCAGTATGTGGCATTCAATAATTAGTGCTGACACACACAAGTATTATTCTGACTAAAATGAGCCTAATTAAGATTGTTATTAAGTCTTACACAAAGCAGAAGTGTAAAACACAGTAGTAGAAATTATCTTGGCTTTTAAATAACATTTATATTGAAATGCAGATGAAGTATATTCAAATATCTGAAAGACCTTCCTCTTTGAAATAAAAACCTCAAAATTCAAA